CTAAACAGGGAGAGGCCCCCATTAACACAATAAAGGGGCTCCAGAGCCCAGAGGATACTTTACCTTAAAAAACAAAATGGAAAGACTCAGGGAGACACAGAGAGACAGAGAGAAACGGAAAGAGACACTACCCACCAGCAGTAAGTGAGGAGGGGGCCTCAGCAGCCCCTCTTGCACCAGCTCAGGCTGAAGCTCAGGGTCGAAGGATCGGTCCCCAGGAACTGCCAGCCCAGTTCACGCCTCCCTCACCCTCACGCACTGGGGGACAGCGCAGCAAGCACACACAGGAAATCCCTGCTGGGAGGTTAGGAGTCTGACTCCCAGCAAGAGCACGCAGTGAAAGTGCAGGGACAGGGCTCACAGGAGGCAATGACGTCGAAGTGCTGGACTCCCACATGGCTGACCATGGTTCAAATCCAGGACCTGGCAGCTTGCTTTCTTACTTTCCCTCTCTCTCCTCCCTCTCTGGTCAAATTTTAAAATAATAATACGTTTTTCTTTTTTTTTGGAGAGGTTTTTGCTATAGGGCGCGTGCGTTCACCAGACAGACAGAGAGAGACAGAGAGACAGACAGCGAGACATCACCCCCGGGCAGATGGCCACGCCACAATCCCTTCTCCTCCATTCTCCTCTCAGGATCTTGGGCACGTACGCACATGCGCCCGGCGTGAGTTTAAGCCACCAGGTCTGGGACTTGAACCGCTGTCGACTACATGGGAGTCCAGTGACATAGACATTACGCTAACTGCTGGTCCCAATAATAATAATTTTTTTTAAAAAAAGGGGGAGACTTGGGGGCTGGCAGGTGGCCTGGGGATTAAGGGTGCTGGACTCCCACATGGCTGACTGAGGTTCGAGTGTCAGACCTGGTGGTTTGCACTCGCTCCCTCTCTCTCCTTCCCCCATCAAATTAAAAATAAATAAATAAATAAATCAATAAAGTTAAATCGGGGCCGGCAGGTGGCATGGTGGTTGTGGGCATTGGACTCCCACTTGGCTGACTGTGTGTCAAGTCCTGAACCTGGTGGCTTGCTTTCTCACTTT